CCCCAAAACCCCAAAACCCCAAAACCCCTTGTATTATTGGTAGCAGAATTAGTATGATCTATTTAATATATTAATATTTGGATATATAGATTGATAAATTTTGAAACTTTTCAATTTTCAATGTTGAGGTTGAACCTTTTCCTAGCTGTTTTCCATCATATCGCTTTCTATGTCGAATTGATCATTACTCTTTGATTCCTCTTAGCCAGTTCTATCTAAGCCATCTCTTTTAGTAATTCTATTAGAAATATGATTGCCATATTGTTCTCCAACCAATTCATATCTATCATTAGTGTACTGGATATCATGGATTATGGCTTTAGCAAATTCATCTGGGTTATCCAAGTACATATGATGATCAGAGTTATTGATTATATAGACAAAACTAAGAGTATCAGCAAATTTATTTCTCTCAACTGTCCTATCGCCACCTTTTCTATCCATCCAATCCTAATCTCCGTAGAAGAAGCTGACTGGTATGGGTAAATCTGGGTTGCCTAGTCTATCTTCAGTTTCAAGAGGATTTTCAGCAAACATTCCAAGTTTAAAGCAAATAAAGATGGCATACTCAGTTGAACCGTCTTTCATAAATATTTAATACATGTAGTCAAGCATGATCTACTATTCCTCATCAGTAAGCATATTCATTCTCTTGTTCAAGTAACTTTTAATAATCTTCTTACCAATAAACTTTCCTGACTTCCTCATCACTCCAAATGGCGACCATTTCTTTTCCCACACACTTTCAGCAATAGATTTGACCATCTTGCTAGGGGACTTGCCGTTCTTGAATTTCATCTTTGAGATATCAAAGTCAGCAGGTACCCAGACAACTCCAGCAGGGGATAACATTAAAACCTTTTTAAGATGTTCTGGATATCTGTAGGCATAGTGACCACAAATATAACCTCCGAATGAGTGACCACATAAATAAAAGTTGGTTAGGTCCATGGCTTTTCTCCAAGACTCTAAGAAATCGACAAAGAAATCATCAGCTTCACTAGCTGTTTTAGCCTCAAATTTAGGTCTACTACTAGCTCCCATTCCAATTATGTCAATTAGAATCAGGTTAAAATGCTCAGCTAGCTATTTAATGATTTTAAAGAAAATCAACCCAGAGCCTCCATATCCATGCACTAAGACTACTTTCTCGCCATCTTCCTAAGATAAAGCTTAACAAATAAATAACTTACCTTTCCACATTAGATAGTTCTTACATAGTCTTATTAATCATTTATCACTACGTTTCTTATCTTGAATTCATTTAATTCCATCCCAGTGAGTCTAAACAGCTTAGCCTCTGCTTCTACAAGCTTTTCTTCATTTATAGCGTATTTCTGACAGTTTCCCATTTATTATTCACAATTAAAGTAATTATCTTATAAAGTCATTTGGGACTATTTTTAAATAGTCCACGTAATTTTAATAATAAATAGATTAGAATCATTTTATAGATCTTTTAAAATAGGTTTTTTTGCTAACTTAGGGGTTTTGGGGTTTTGGGGTTTTGGGG